CCAGAGCCGCCAGCGAACGAACCTGGCTCGAACGGTCTTTAGACAACGTGATGCTCAGGTTTGTTAGTTGCTCGTCGCAGCTGTCGTAGTCACGACCGGCTGATCGAATTGGATCGTCGCGGATCGGTCGGTTTTGGCAGAACACGACAGACGGCATTCAGACAGAGGTTCAGCGATGAGCACAGCTGATTGATACCGGAGACATTCGTTCAAAGACGACTACTAATTAGTAACGGAAAAGTTAGCTGACGACGTTCGCCGCCTGTTCGTCTTTGATCCCGATCGTTTGCACATCTGAACCGATAACCGCACGTGTTTCCCTTCGTTACCGCCTCAGTTGCAGGCTTCTATTCTTTCTCGTCTTCTCGGAGCTTGTTTCGGAAAAAGCTGTCCTTTCGTTTCTGCTCTTCCTTGCTTTTGCGGCTACTTTTCGCCTGCGCAGCCATTGTCCGTGTCTTCCCAGAGTTGTGTTCGTCTGGCCTGTGCTGTTAGCCGATCCATGTGACAACGAGAGCATTCATTCGTCCCGCCGCTGTTTTCCTCCTTATAGCGCCCACAACGAGTACTGCTTGGCTCCCGTCACCAAGACAACGACGAACGACGGCCGTTACGGTCAGACAAGTTTGCATGACGACCACTTCTGATGCTCACACACACAGCAGCGGCGATGCGGATGACAACAGGTTCGACGAAGAGGCGCTCGTCTCGGTCCTCCGCGACCTCAGCCTTCGACATCGCCGTCACACCTACTGGTATGTTCCTGTTGCTGTCGACCGTTGTCGCACACTAAACCACATAACCGATCTCGTTTCGTTTCATTCATGGCCAAAGAGCACACCTGTTCGATTTTAGGCCAACTGTAAACATTTGCATGTGAGCGTCATAACGACGTAACCCAGGTCTCATCATAGACGATAGTTGCTCGATAGCCCGTTTCACCGTTTACTCAATTTTAGAAAAAGTAATTTATCTCGGTTATGGCCTTTTTATACCTTTTTAATTTCACTCACACTCCGTGAAATATAACTTCAGAAGCACGAAAGTGAGTTCAACTCGAACCATCCACTGGCGGCTAGTGAGCTGCAGTACTCCTCTTAAAATCGTCACACTTGACTGCAGGGTCGCTATCTGCAGCTTATCCGCCTTGCTCTCCGCACCAGTCGGCTTTATTGGTCCTTTTCATTGTTCCGAGCGCACCGATCACGACAGGGGTCACTTCCACCTTTACTCTTCAGATCTTGCGTTTTGCAGCTGCAGATTATATGGGTTTCGAACTTCACTCGACACATTCGGCAGTTTGCTGCCCGCTGATTGTGCAGGATCGTAATCTTGCATGAGTTCGTGTTTAATGCTTGGTCTTTGGCAGCTGTTATTACAGGGGCTTCTGTTTGGCCATGGGAACCACCTTCTGATAGCCAGTAAA